TTAAAAAACGACGTTAAGGGGAAATAACACAATTAATAATTAATGCTAAAAAGGATTATTATTATTATTATTATTATTATTATTATTATTATTATTATTATTATTATTATTTAACATTATTATTATTATTATTATTTAACATTAATTACATTTTTTATTTCATGCTTCAATTTTGTCCTATTTTTTCCCCCACAAATTTCAGTCAATGTCAGTATGTTGGTGTCAGCCAATATGACCCTAGGCCTAGTTTAAGGAGGGGCCTAGGTAAGATCTCAGCCTTTTAGGCCTCTTTCTCTCTAGCCTTTGGTATTACCTATCTACACTTTATAGCAGGAGGTACTAGCTGTTGTTGTTGTAGATAATTATACTAACATTTAATTTAAACATCCAAGGTCACAGTTAGTTACACACGTACAACATCCCATAAGTCCGTGAGATTTCATAGGCCTACCGTTGGTAAACATAGAAAGAGCAATACAGTAATAGTAAAACTCGAGCGTCACGACATTGCGAAGTGTCTGATCTTGTTCCTCGTATCGTACTCACTCGAGTCAATCCGAGATGGCCCGAGTGAAGTTTCATGCAAGTGTTTCGTACGGAAAAAAATCACGTACTGTATAATATTATGCCGTCTTCCTAAAAACATCACACATAAACCGTGACGTGTGTTGTGTTATACAGAGGGCTGAGGCCAGGTGACGGACGATCGGCACCCCATGAGACATCGAGTTCATTTCCAGACAATTGGGCCCAAAGTATATGGACGATCGTGTAGGTCTCGGCGTCTCTAAGCCCGCACTAGGTCGGACCAGGAGGCCTCTTCAGTAGTCTGAGGCCTAGCCAGCATAGTCATAGACTAGTGCTTCCAGCAACCCGGAGCAGTCTGTCTAGCAATGGCGGTGCCAGCGGGGGCCTGGGGAGGGGCTTAAGCCCCACCCCATCGGACAAGTCAAGGGGCCCGGCCGATCTCGTCGGGTAGTCGAACCAAAAATTAACCAAAAATAATAATAAATATAGGCCTACACCAAGCCAAAACATGTTTTTCACAGTCGTAGATTGCCATTTCGGGCCATCTAGAACTCCCTATTCTTTATAAAATCTCATTCCCCAAACCCTCCCCCTCCTCAGGCATACAAGCTCAAGCCTCTTGTCGGACAGCTTAGAACGCCGCCCCATAACCCCCCCCCCTAGAAAATATATCCTACAGCAGCCGGCCGGGCCTTTGCAGAATCATGCCCTAGGCTACTGAAGAATCTGCACTAAATATACCTATAATTGTTAGTTATTTAATAGGCCTACATGACTTTTATACAATACAAATTGCAATACAGACATTGACAATAAAGTTAATATATTTAATTGATTTAAATATTAACATTCTATTCCCCTTCTCTTTTTGTGTAATACAGCCGGCAATTTTGTGAAACACTAAAAAGTAATAAATCTTAACTTCAGCAGGTGTTGTAAAAAGTTGTAATTTTAATTTTCTCTTCCAGTAAGATAATATTAGACCCATTTTCTCTTCCAGTATAATTAATTGTTCATGGGATTAAGGTTGGAAAATCCACAGACTAAGTACAGTATTGTAGTACTATAGTGGCATTGAATTGTTTTCATTTCTTTCTGTGATTACGGCCTTATCCCTACCGCTAAAATAAACTCTGTGTAGACCCCATAAATTGAAAATACTCCATGGGTCCTAATTTTAGAAAGAAAATCACACAGCGACAACTGATTTTTTCTGACATTGGTTGTCACCCATTAATTGCCTTGGTTTTGCTATGCTGTGGGACAGGGCCCACTCTGTGTCGAGGACGAACTATAATTGAAAGACGAATAAAGCTGAAATGTATGACGTTAACATACAAAGCCACGTCCCCTCTGCTGAACCCGTTGTATTTAGCAACTACCCTTGGTAGTCTCTTCTTCCAGTTATCACACCGTACGGTACAATACTTCGCATACAATTTTTTTTTATAAGAAAACATTTTATATGAACACTGAGGCTGAAATTTCCTAAAAATTAAGAACAAATTAAGAACAAATTGAGGCTGAGTTGTTTGTCAGCCATGTTCATTCGTGGAGCCGAACGACCAGACCCCAATCAAAAACCGGGATTTACGACATTTAGCTTAAGCAGGAACATAAATCTCTCGGTCAAGAATCATAGGACTAGAGTGATTATAAACCGACGCTAGCCGGGTTTGAACCGAGGCAAATGGCACGAGAAGCAGGGACATTATATTTATTTTCTACAAATTAATAGACTTAAATCGATTAAATAAGCCTTCGAAACCACTAAATTAGCCTTCGAAACCACTAAATTGTCATATTTAATTTTTCTCTGTCGACCACCCCACTTTGCACTCGTCGGGAGCACTGGCCGATCGATGAGGGGCTTTAATCATATGTTTAGGCTGTGCAGCACCAATGTCTTACGGCTCGGCCACTCGACTCGCTGAATCAAGTGGCCGAGCTTGATCACTGCGCGATATACTGTATCATAATTACGCTAATTCCTCCTTAAGTTTTAGAAATTCATATTCTCAACAATCTCACACTTTGTAAGTTAACGTACATAATATTATGAAAATGGCTAACGAACCAACATCAAATACAAACATTATTTATTACTAAATTTTGTAGTCATTTATTAGATTTTTCATAACAAGTTTTTCTACAATCTCCTGATAAAAAGGTTAACTAAATATAAATATTAAGTATTTCCAGTTGGTGCACTAATTGTAAGTTTCAAATTACTTTGAGCTCTCAATAGCTGGCCTACACAATAATTATCATAGAGTGTCAAATTGTAGAATTTAGGTAGGCCAACATCATTGTCATTACAATATAATTATTCATCATTTTGTTCATTTGTAGTACAGTAATATCAGTTTTCATATGTTTGATGTTTCAAAATAAAGGTACCGTTTATAGCATAATTATGTATACACTACCTGCCAACTTTGTTGGTGTCTGATGCGTGAGACAAAAAACAATGTGTATAACCCACTCTATGTAATATTCTCGAAATAGAGCCTGTATTTTTGCATTTTAATGACGAAATCATTTCACTTTTATTAATTTTAGGGTATAATCGGCTTTTATCCATTTTATCTTTCATAAACATTTGTATGATGCGTAAGAATCGGCAGGTATATAATTAGCAATGTCGTCAATATTGCTCATAACTATTCTATTTCCCATACAATGGACCTACAATATTAATGGCAGCAGCAGAGAAATCCCGTAGGCGGGAGATTCAGAGGGTGCACCTCCAATTTTAAAAGGCCAAACCTTTTGTTTTACTAAAATCGTTCCCAATTATCGTGAAATCACATGCATCAATGCATTTCATTTCCCAGCTCTTCTAACCGTTGGTTTTTAATAACTGTACGAAATTGTTTGAAATTTATCAGTTCCCGTAATTGCAGTTTGATATGAACAAAAATCTATGATATAATGTAGGCCTACATAATGTAATGGACATTAAATGTTACCTTTTCATCCCCCTAACAACAATTTAAATAAAATTTTCACGAATTATATGGGTTTCAGAAATCCATTAAATACCGCGGCCTCAAAATGCTACTTTGTCAGAGCTTCCGGAGCTAGACGTTCCCCCCCCCCCCCACAAGGATTCTGCCCCTGCAACCCGCAGAGAAGTCTAACTGTCTCTTATACACATCTAGATGTGTATAAGAGACAGGTTTAAGGAGGGGCCTAGGTAAGACCTCAGCCTGTAGTTAGGCCTATAGTTTATCCTCTTTCTCTCTAGCCTTTGGTATAACTTAAAAAAATAAAT